AGGGAAACAAAGGGTGGAGTTATGTATATTTCATTCATTGTTATATCTTCTTAATTGGCGTAGATACCGCTTACGCGATTACAGCCGAGTTAACAACAGCGAAGACGTCTCTACTTTTCGCAACGTGACGCCAATTGGAAATTCCAAGTGAAAACAGGTACTTCTCCACCTGGTCTTTCCAACGGAATGGAGGTCTCGGCGGGTATTGCATCGAATACTTTCAGAACTCGAATTTTTTCGTCCTTACGTACGACATGACCTAGCCAGCKCAGCCTCTGTCTCTAAATTCTCTGAATTATGTCAATACCATCGTATATCTCATACAGTTCGTCGTTCCGTCCGATGCGATATTCGCCGTGGCCAACGGGCAAAGGTCCATAAATCTTTCGCAGCACCTTTTTCTCGAGAATTCATAACGTCGACTCATCAGATGTCATCGTCCATGCCTCTCCACCAAATAGCAGGACGGGATTAATGAGTGACTTATATAGTTTGGTGTTTGTTCGTCGAGAGAGGACTTCTCAATTGCCTTTTCAGTCCAAAGTAGCACTTGTTTTGCAAGAGTTATTCTGCGTGTGATTTAGAAGCTGACATTCTTATTGCTGTTAATGTTGTTTCCAAGATAGACGAAATTATCTAGAACATTGAAGATATTRCTGTCATTAGTAACGTGACAGGAGATATTTCGTCTTGCCCTCGTTCACTGCCAGACCCATTTCTTTTGCTTCCTTATCCAGTCTGAAGAAAGCAGAATTAACRGCGCCGGTGTTTAGGCCAATGATATCAATATCATCGGCATACGCCAGCAACTGTGTTTTCTCCAGCAGCAGATTGAAGAAGTAGCACGATAGGSTGTCGCCTTGTCTGAAACCTTCTTTGGTATCGAACGGATCGGAGAGGTCCTTCCCGATCCTGCCAGAGCTTTTGGTGGCGCTCAATGCCAGTTTACACAGGCGTATTAGTTTTGCGGCGATACCAAATACAGACATAGCGGCAGCTCCTTTTCGTACTATCAAAAACAACTTTTAAGGTGACGAAGCGGTGGTGGGTGTCGATTCTCTTTTCACGGATCTTTTCCAAGATTTTTCGCATGGTGAATATCTGGTCGGTTGTWGATTTTCCAGGCCTAAAGCCACACTGATAAGTTCCAATCAGTTTATTGACGGTGGGCTTTAATACGMTCGATAGAACCTTATATGCGGTGCTTAGGAGACTTATCCTAGGGTAGTTGGCGCAGATTGTGGGGTCTCCCTTTTTGTGGATTGGGCAGAGCATACTTAAATATCAATTGTTGGGCATGCTTCCGTCCGACCATATTTTACGCCGTGTTTAAATAGCTCTGCCGGCTTTCCCTCGGCCCCCGCYGGTGTGTTGTTCTTCAGACGGCCAATTGCTATTCGAATTTCTTCATGGTCGGGCAATAGAACGACTGCTCCAGWGAAKTGTTCCCTCCATTATTTCAGTATGCTCTGGGCATTGRTTACTAGATCACCTCTGCGGGTTCTGCAAGAGTTTCGTGCAGTCTTGAAGCCTCTATTAGTCGCCGCATTTTTTCGTAGAATTTGCGAGCATTACTCCTGTCAGCCAGCKTGTCAAACTCTTCGTACTCATRCATTTCAGCCTSTCTCTTTTTCTGTCTGCCAATGCGTCTCGCTTCYCTCTTYAAGTCTCGSTATCCCATTMCGCACGTGTTGCGGTCGRTCGTAACGTTGTGAGATCTGTTTTCTGCGACACGGCGCTTCCCATCGTACCAGGTGTTCTTTTGCATTTTCCGAAAACCAATGATTTCAGTTGCAGCTGAAGAGTGAAGTGCCGTGCCGAGCCACAGTTTCGTTATACCGAGTTGTGGACGAGTGCTCTCAGAGAGCAKGAGTGCAAATCGAGTAGAAAATCGTTCAGCTATTTATATTGATTGCAGCTTCTCGACTTGTCTTTGTTGACGTGGATTTTCTGTTGCATAGAGGCTAGTACGTATCTTGGCTACAACCTTGGAGGGTACGCACGTCTAAAACACTGGAGACGTGTCTTTCGTCCATCACAACATGATCGATCTGATTGGTGGCTTTTTGATACGGAGACAACCAGGTAGCTTGGTAATTTTTTCTAATCTGGAATCTAGTACTGCAGATAATCATATTTGGAGCCCCGGCGAAGTCGATCAGCCTCAACCCATTTGGGAATGCTTCCTGGTGGCGACTGAATTTACCAACTGTTATGCCAAAGGTTTTAGGATCATACATTCCTGGAGCATGTCTTGCCATTGGTCGTTAGCAAAAGGGGGTTTCSCCTTTTGAGGCTTTTTGTTCCTTTTCATTTGGAGGCGTTTTTTTGTAGGTGGCGGGTCCCAAACCCAGCTCACAACCCTGTAGAGGGGATTTTTCGCYTTCTGACTTTAGCAGCCCTTAAAACGGCTGTTCTTTAGCTACTCAGAGGGTACTTGGTCTAGGACCGGAAGTCTTGAGCTGCTTGAGCCATATGTAAAAAAAAAATCGTTTCTGGGCTCTCCCAAGTGAATGGCAATCAGACAACTGTAAACTTCTATACAAGACTGCATTCATCCATCGTCCTCGTCGAGATCATGAGCTTCAATTTCAGGCATCACTATAGCATCTTTCTGCTAACAATCTGACCGATCAAGTCTTTGTATAGTTAACTTTTTTATTTGACAAGATATTTTAATGCAATTTGGCATAGATTAATGAATTTGGATGGGCTATTATTGACCGATCATAATAAAGATAAATATCTTTTTAAAAGGTGTTTTGAAGATTGGTTATATCAATCAACGTTATTCAAAAAATTATGTACAAATAGTGTCATTATAGTATGCCACCTCTTACCCAAAATACATAATATTTGTCAATCTCTGAGATACATTGCTAAATCAATAATTCTGATAACATATTTTCCTGACAGTAATGTGCCCTTGTCCGAAAAATTAATGAAATCGAGTCAATTGTTGACCTAGCGATGTCTCTCATTTCGTGTTGGACCAAAAAGTCAGTCACAATCATGTTAGAATTGGTATGAGTCTAGCAATGATAGAGAAGCATTTGAAACCCTCTGCTCTCTCTGACGCCAACATTACTTTTTTCAAGCACTGTTTCTTTAACATTTGCGATATTATTGTAATTAAAAAGGTGGAGGCATGAGTGAATGTTGACTTAACGACCTTCGCTGAATGTTTTGTGTCACTGAAATACTTTTATTGATGTCCCCAAAGCACTAAGACAAACTTTCGGCATCGTAAGCAGCCAGCTGAAAAGCACACACTACTTCATATAAGGAAAACATACTACACACGAGGTTTTAGGAATTTAGGAAAAAATATTTATCGATTCAGTTTACGAGTGTAGTGTCTTGAGGCAAATTTGGTGTCTAGGGAATGCGCAACCGATTACTTGATCGAAATTAAACTATAAATAAATTAAATAGTCTGACACATGTCTAATGCCTAAAAACAACTGACACATAATAACAGATCTTACAATCTTTGCCTGACTCTTGTACAGAGTTTTGCAAAAATCTTGTACAGCGTTTTCTTAAAAAAAACAACACAACTAATCGTTAAGGAAATTSAAATGTTCTTTATTTAATGCGAAATACAATCGATGCAATTAAGTTTTGAATATACCATCATTCAAATGGCTTCCGCGACTTATTTTGCAGGGTCGAATTCGACAAACCCAATTTGTAAGTAATGTTTCCACTAAATCAAGTTTTTGTTATGATTAGCACGTTCAATATTGACTTCTAAAGCTTGAAGAGAGTCTGGTTTATWGCTAAAGACTAATGACTTCAAATAACCCCACAAGAAGTAGTCTAATGGTGTTAAATCACAACTTCTTGGA